AAACTAAAAGGCTTTTTTTAAATGGTGTGGTTGTGACAAAATAAGAAAATAAATTTGTAATAAAAAAAAAAAAGTTTCCTTTTAGCATCCTGGCCTTAAAACCAGAGAGGCAGAAGAGAGAGTGTGATGTTATTTATTGGACTGTAACCATGGGGCCGTTGCCGAGGAACGAGCCATCGGTAACAAAAGGGTGGATTCATCCATTCATCCAGAGGAGAGGAGGAGGAGGAGGAGGAGGAGGAGAGGCATCCCCAGCCGCAGAGAGGAGATCTGAGCCAGAGGGTTTCCCAACACCAAGCAAGTTGACACAGTTGTTGTTGATGAAACTTTACACACTCCTCCTCCTCCTCCTCCTCCTCCTCTTTCTTCATTGGAGCGTTGTCCGGACAGGCAGGCAAGCAGGCAGTCACATGAAGCCAACACCTGTCGGCAGTGTGGGGGGATGACAAGCACATGGCGCTCCGTCTCTCTGTTTCCCAACCAGCTTCAACAACACATGCTCCTCTCTTCTCTCTCCTCTCTGCAGCCATGTTTTCTTCTCTAAAAGTTTTTTAAATCTGCAGCTTGGACATGCACTTCTAGCCAGAGTTGCAGCAGAGGGGATGGTGGGAGTGGGGGAGAGGAGAAGAAGAGGGAAGGGAGGGAGGGAGGGAGGGAGGGAGGGGGGGGGGGTGAAAAACCGGTTTCCAATAGTGACGGATGATTTGTAGGTAACAGTTGTTTGCCTTGCAGCCTGAGGCCTGCCCCACTCAAGCGCAGACTCACACACAGTTTGTAGCATGCAGCCTGAGTGCAGCAAAGACTCAAAAGAGCTGAAGATTAAAAATGAACCCAAAGTTTGTTCTTTTTATGAGTTTTCTACTCTGAAACACTTAAAACGCAAAACACAAATGCTAAATAGTATGTGCCTCCCTTTAGGTGTAAAAAAAAAAAGATGGTTTTTGAACTAGGTTTGGCTGCTTTAGAGAAATGACTGACAGTGTGAGCAGGAAGTGATGCATTGTACACCATTTTTGTAGTCTTAGAAATTAAAGCTGAACTCACTCATGTGAGAATGTAAATGCTGCATACATGTCATTTTGGAGAGCAAAAAGGATGTTCACAATTAACGAGACACAACAAACATATAAAGTGTATCGTAATGTATCGTATCTTGTTGCATCATATCATATCAAATGGTAAGGGTCTGTAGATATCGCATGGGGTCATATGATATTGTAACATATGGTATCGTGAGTTTGGAACTGTTTTATGGGGTTGTACCATTTTGAGTTACTTCGGGTTGGAACCTATCGTATCGAACTGATTGTTTCATTTCATTATGTTGTGTTTGTAATTAGCGTATTATATCATATTATGTAAGTATTACATCATATAGTAGCACATTGCATCAGGCTGTTTCCAATCGTATTGTAGTGTTACATTTTGTATCACATCGTATTGTATTGTATCATGAGGGTTTACTATCATCTCGTGTTGTATTGTAAGAAATTGTATCAAATTGTATTGTCTCATAATGTATTGTGTCCTACCGCATTGCATCGATTGTAACTATTGTAGGGAGTTGAATTGAATAGTATTGCATATCATATCATGTGGTATCATATCGTTTCATGCCACGTCACATCGTATGGTTTGGGGTAGTATTGGATCGTTTCACGTCACAACATAAATACATGATAAAAACAGATTTTAAGATTAGCCATAATTACATGCTGTAATGCTGTTATTTTGTCCCAATGAAACTTCTATATTCCCGTTTGAAAGTTTTTGGAATGGAAATGTCTAATCAAATATTTAGCCTATATCTTTGATTTTTAAGTTTTAGATGAATTCAGAAGCTTTTATTTAATTTAAACAAATCATATTTACATAGTAAAACACTCACAGGCACGGTTTTTCTGCATGACACTTTTACTTCTCAAATCTTAACATAATACATTTATTAAGACCAAAAGTTCTCACAAAGACAGAAAAATAGTTTTCCGAAGTAAAGCAACTTATTCCATATTGTGAATGTGTTTAAATACCAGTCTTGAATTTAAAAACTTTTAAAGGAAGAATAAAAGGTAAGACTTTGTTTTTAGGATGAAACCTTAGAGCCTGTGTTTTTGTGTTTTTGTGTTTGTTTGTGTGTGTGTGTCAGACTGATGTGGTATCTCGACCGACCAGTTTTTGTGATGCTGATACATTAGATACAGTAACCATGAATACCACTCACCTGTTGCTGTCAGGGGTGGGGGATGGGAGTGTTGACACCTGAACAAAACACACACACACGCACGCACACGTGCACACACACAAAAGGGGAAAATAGTCAATTAAAGAGTTACATGGGTGCATCATTTAATCTTTTAATTTTATACATTTAATTAACTGACTTATTATTGCTTTTCATTTTCAAAAAGTAATAAACTTTGTATAAACATTACTCCTGAAGAATTTAATGTTCGTTTATTAATATTCAGCCCTGATAGATACTGCTGTAATTATTAGTATTTTTATTTAGCCTACTTTGTCTTTGGTATAACTTTAAAAGATGTGTTGTATTTCTTGTCTATATATAAACACTTAAATGTAAAGTTAAAATTTCTGACTCTTAGAATAACTCCAAGTTAAACGTGATGAAGTTAAATAAAATATAAACTGACAAATAAAATGATAAACCTTCACAGAGGGATTATTAACTGGAGGGAAGTCTAAATCTGCAGCAATAAAAAGGTCAGAGTCGAGGGTGAAAGATTTTTGACTCCCTCTATTGGTTCAAAAAAAGAACTGCAGTGACTCAACAGATAAAACAATGAAATAAAAACAAATCGACTTACAGAACTATTCATGTACATAGGATGAAAAATAAAAAACAACAATAAACAATTCTGTGTTTATATCTTCTTTTTATTACATATGGATTAAATAGTCGTAATAATTAAAATAATTGTTACATTTTTGATTTGCTTTAGAGTTTAAGGTAAATCTATTATAATTTAATATGTTAAGCTTTAATATTCATAACTTTTACATTCAAAATTGGATGGCTGGTTGCCCAATATGCCCAATAAAAAGATGAAAACATGTTAAACAAATAAAAGTTTAGGGTGCTTTTATAAAACAGGGGAAAATGTAAAACACACAAAAAGAGGCTCGAAGCGTCACCATTGTAAAAATGGCTTTATTATAATGGATAAATTATTTATTTTTACTTTAATGACTTAGCAATTCTAATAATTATTATTGTAATGAAGGTGCTTTAAGTATTTAATTCCTAATTTTTACATTGTTCATGCTTTTTGTGTATTCTTGACTTTTACTTTATTCTCTGTTGCAGTGGTTGAAGAAGTCACATTTACATCCAATTATAGCTTAGCACTTGACAAATCATTTTAGGGTATAATTTAGACTCCACTACATCTTACAGGTGTGTCCTTTGAATATTTACAGTAAATCCAGATGTGAGATGACAAACTACAACATCAAAATGCTCTTAAATGATCATGTTTGTGTAATAAAACAGAATAAATATTAATCTAGTATAAAATCTCTGCTACGATTCTGACAGTACATTTTTACAATAAAAACGTATTTAATGTCATTAAAGTCAAATTTTAAATTCAGGACTTTAACTTCAAATGGATCATGTTTAGATTGTGGTATTTCGATTTTTACAAAAGCAGAGTTCGTCTTTCAGCACAGTGACTCACTTTTTTGAACATGTTCTGATCATTTAAATTTAGAGGATCACATTTTGCATCTAATGAAATCTTTGACGTATTTATTATAATAACTGGAACCAAGCTACTGAATGAAAGTGATGAATTTAAAGAAAACACATTCAGTCGTTTTGAATTTGCTTTTATTGTAGTAGAAAGTTTCAGCATTAATATAAGATTTTAAGTCACAAAGAAAAGATTATCACATTTTATCCAATACAATTCTCATGAATCAGATTTTTAAATCCAGACTGGGAGGTGGCTGTGAGGATAAACTGAGTCTGTCAGCTCGCCATGAACGTCCGTTGTGTTTTTTAATTAAAAAGAGAAAAGTAATTGATTGATATGGCTTATGATGATATCTTAAATCACAAAAGGGAAATATGCAGCAAAATCAAATTCCATCATTCTTTATCTTCAAAAGGTCCAAATGTTGTTTATTAATTAAACTGGCTGTAAAAAGGTCAAACTTTCTATTTTGTTGTTTTATGAAATATTTTGTTGTCTAAAATCACAGGAGTTCAGTCTGTGAATGTTGGAGTTCATTATTAATTATTATTTAATTATGAGCAGATTTCTCATTTCAGACGTTTTGACTTGTAGTAGTTATAAAAATATTGAATAAAATATCAAAATAAAAGATATCTACAATCTGGAAAATATTCATAGATAAAATGTTATGTTGAAGAAATGTAACGTCCACAAATTTCTGGAAATGTAGTTGATAATTATAATCATTTGTTTTATTTTCTTTACTTCAAATCTGATGTGAGACAAATTAAATGTAACGTCGCACACATGCCAAATGTCTGTCTTTACTAAAAGCAAGATCACGACTGTTTTCATATAATTAATTATTAAAATTACGTTTTTCTTTTCATGAAGACTTTTAAATTTAAAAAAGGGGATTTGATTGACCTGTTGTAAATAAATCAATTGAAAAAATTCAGATAAATGAAATTCACCTTAATAGAGCAATATAAAACGATCTTATCAAGTTGACATGCTCTGACTTTTCATATAAAATGGTCAATATATTTTTAATGTTTCTTGGGTAATTTTTTTATACCTCTGAGCTGGTAGACTAGATTGACCTAACTTTTACAGTTTTAATGTTTGTCACACAAACCTCCCTCACCTCTTAATAAGAATCTGGATTTTCTACATTTGAGTCTAAATTTAAAGAAGACAGAGAATCATCTAGAAATTCATTTGCATAATTACTGGCTCCACCCAGTCAGATTAAAGCCGTTTTGATTGGTGAAAGCTCGTTGGAAATGGTGATGGGCGGGGTCACAGATCTGTGATCCCATCATCTCGGGCTTTAATTTCAACATCAATCACTCCATCAGCCTAAAAAAAGCACAACAGAACATCAACCAGACATAATCTGAACGCTAACATTAAAAGGTTTCTTTTCTTTAAATTAGCAGAACAATGTCTAGATATAATGCAATGAGTAAAAGTAAGAAAGAATGTCTGCATACTGTATGTTTTGATTATTTGATTTTTGTTAAAAAAAATGAATATTCAATAAATAAATCGAGTGAAAGTTGGGTTGAAGAACAAGGTGATTTTCTTTTTCAGAATCAAAAACTGATTATTCAAATAAAAAAATGGTTTGATTTTTATTTTCCCTTTTAGAAAGGAAAAAAGAAATAACTAGAAAACAGAAACACAAATTAGTTAGTGTATTTCTTAGACGGGGCAGGAGAACCAAAATATACACATAAAAAAGACGAGTAGAGTAATATGAACAGAGAAAGTCGGGGAGGTTACCCGGCCGAGGTTGCTGCAGACCATAACAGCCACAATTCGGCGTTGTCCTTCCAGTCGAGGGATGAACGACTCCGTCCAGGAGTACGAAGCTTGAGGCTCAATGACACTGAAACACAGTCAGGCATAAATAAACCGCTTCTAAACAATACTCAGCAAACATCAGTCAGCATGTCATCAGAGGGGAGTGCACCTGTAGAAACGAGTCTTGTAGCTTATGAGTCCCGATCCCTCTATGGCCACGACTACATCCTGCAGGGGGAAGCTGTAGGGGTTGGTGAAGGAGGCGGTCACAAACATCTCCTTCTGCACCTGAAGCTGCCCACTCACCTGCAAACACATTACAAAAGGTTGTATTTATAAAGTAGAACCATTCCAGTAGGTTTAAAGACGCGTCAGGTGGATTTCTATTTAATTATTGTTGTGAGTAGTGGCAAAGCTGTAGGAGGATGTTTCAAAACTTCATATCCAATCCTTAAAGACCCAGATGAGAAATATCTGCATAAAATGACTGTAAGATATTAGTTTAGTCTGTTAACTGTCCCAACGAGGCTGTAAAAGTGAGCGTTGTGCTTTCCTTAAAGAGTAACTACAGAACTACTAACAGAAAACAAGATCAGCAAAGAGTTGAGACCACTATGTCCAAATGGAATGCCAAAGTCGACTTAAACTAAAAGTTCTCAACAAAAACTTTGAGTAACTATCTAAAGACATCTTTTGATTCCTGATGTGCATGCATGCGTGTGTGTGTGTGTGTGTGTGTGTGTGTGTGTGTGTGTGTGTGTGTGTGTGTGTCTGCATGCGTGTCTTTGTTTTTACCTCCACGGTGAGGTGAGGGGTCTGCAGTTCGACCACCTTGATGGCGGTCAGTGAATATTCATCAGCCTGTCCAGTCACAACAAAGCGCAGAGAGACCTGATTGCCCAGGTGAGGCAGGTACTCCTCAGTGGTGACCTTCAGCATCACACGCTCCACTGCAACACACACACACACACACACACACACACACACACACACACACACACACACACACACACACACACACACACACACACACACACACACACACACACACACACACACACACACACACACACACACACACACAGAAATCTTTATCATAACAGAGTTTATTTGTAAAGCTACAAATGACTTTTTCCTTTAGGTGTTTCTCACTCTGGTTGGCAGGCACGGTGACAGTGAAGTCATAATCTTTGACATGACTGGCTGTGACTCCAGTGTAGAAGATGACCGACTCAGACAGGTGAGCCTGGACGGTTTTGGGGAGATCACCCTGGTTCTGGAAATCCACGGCCAGGATCACATCCTGACACATCTGGACCTGAAGAGAGGGACAAAGATGGAGAAAAGAAATACTTGAAAATGTTAATAAACAAAAAAGCAAGTGTAAAATGGATGAGGGTTGAAGGACTAGTGGGATGGGTGGATGGATGGATGGATGGATGGATGGAAGTAGAGATGGATGAATCATTGAAAAAGCAGATGGATGTGTTGATGGAAAACAAGTGTAATACATGAGAAAATGAAAGGGATGACTTTTTGGATGGATTGCCTTTTGGAAAGCTGTTCAATTGGAATTTTTAAAACGATGAATGGATAACTTGATGGAGTAATTAATGTATACATAGATATAAGAAAAGATGGATGGATACACAGATTAATAAATATATGGAGGGATGAAAGGTTGGATGATGGATTAAACAGATCAATGGTAAGGTGGAGAGAGGAACAGATTATCAAGAGACAAAAAAGATTGATGTATGGATGGGAATAAGAAATGGATAACACATGTTGGTTAGATTAATGGATGAATGTAAGGATGGATGGATAATGAAGATGGATACAGAGACATATGGATGGATGGATGGATGGATAAACAGATTTATAGATGTATGAATGGATAAAGGGTTGGCAGATGGACTCAAAAGATACATTCTAAGGTGGAAAGATGAATGGATGGATGCCTGATTGTTTGTTTGATTGGTTGATTGATTGATTGATTGATTGATTGATTGATTGGTTGGATGAATACACAGGTCATGTCAAGACAGACTTAGAAAGACTGATGGAGGATTGATAGAGTGATGAACATCGGAGGATGAATAGATAGATCGTGTAGTTTTTAAAGACAGGTGTGCAGACAGGTGTTTTACCGGCTCAGCACTGATGGAAACAGACATCTTAGACTCTTCCAGCTCAGAGTGATCCCTCTCACAGCCGTATTCCTCCGCCCGGTCCATTGTCCTGTTATCCTCTGGACTATCTGAATACAAAAAACAAAACAGTCCACACAGTGCTCTAATTTTTTGTCTCTTTTAACTTATTTACACATTGTTGGTTTTTTTCATTTTTTAGAAGTATTGTGTTACCTTGAAGGTACTTGTAGTTGTGTGTGATGTCCAGACGTTCATTTTTTCCAACAGCTTTGGTGCAGATCAGCATTCCAACGTAAGTCTTGTTTACCCAGAATGCACTCAAAGTCCCATAACGATCCCGCCTATGGCAGACAATATCACTGTTCACCTGGTGATGGAGGTCATAAACATGGAGTAAATAACTTCACCTTTGTCGAATCATATCATTCAGTATAGTATCATAATTCATCATATCGTATCAAAAAGTATTGCGGCTGCATACTTCCATCTTTTGTACTGAAATAAGGCTTGAATAGGAATATGTAAAATACACTGTATTTCTAAACTTTAGTATTGTTCCTTTGAAAAGTTTTTGTTCTTCTTGTCTTTTGAAAACGGTTAAAAACGAACCTCAGCAAAGACGAATCCGCAGTCAAATGGGTGACACAGCAGACCGTCCTTGATGGCATTGACAGAGGATGGACCGCAGCGATAAAATCCTGATATCAAACACAGGATCATAACTATCTTTCTACATGTTTATTGATATTTCCATCTTTTATTTATCTGGCTGTATCCAAATGTCCTACCATCGCTGGTCTCCTGCGGCGTGGCGTCCACCACCTGCCAGCCGCTGCAGTGGGACGGGAGGTCGTGACGGTTGATGAACACTTCGTTCCAGCAGTGGTAGTTCCTAGAGGGAACATATGTAATGTAAGTACACTTGGTTTTTAAGTGAGCAAAACACTGTAGAAGAAAAGCTGTAATTACTCTATTTTCTTTTCCTGATTCTTAACTCCTTCTTTACAAAAGTTTTTTAAGAATTATTGCGATATTAGTTTTTGTAGGATTGTTTTTTTCTTCACTCCGAGTTATTTAGCTATTGGCAAATATTTTACTGATGGATTGTTCTAAATAAAACTGTTTTATTTTCATGAATAAGAGGTAGAACTAGCCTTTTGTATTTGGGATACTTAAAAAAAATCAATAACATAAGATCATCAATATATACTAATTAGTTATAAAAACAGGTAGAAAGATAGGTTACTTTAGTTACTGCAACAACACCTTTAGCTTTCTTACATCCAAACTTTAATATGATGTTATGTGGGATTCAGATTTCACAAGACTTTAAAAATACAATTTTTATGGAAATTAAACAGAGCCCTTAAAGAGACATGGACTGGAAAAAAAAAAAAGAGTTTCTAGGGGACACCAGAAACTCACCCATGGTGCTCATCCTATGAGACATAATGACAGAAACTCTCTGGTGCACACACACACACCATCTTACCATCTTAATGATCATTAGAAGTTTGTACTCATAGGATGGCTTTGTAAGGAGGAGAAAGTTGCCTTGCACACCTGACACTCAATTTAAAAAAAATTGTTTTCTGCCCATGTCCCCATAGGGGCTCCGTAAAATTCAAACATCATAAAGCAAAATATTTTAGAGATAAAAACAATTGTTACAGTTAAGATAGTTAGGGTAATGATTTAAATGATTAAAATCACAGGAGGATGTATAATAAAATATAAATCTGAAAGTTAAGGTTCTAAAAAAATTGGAATAATCTGCAGGATTAAGCAAGCAAAATAAATGAAGGTTTGTTTTTCTGCATACAAATCAGATTGGTGGGAGATTATCTGAGACCCAAACTGTTTTAGTTTAAATCCAAATTTGGGGAAATCTGTAAAGGACTTTACATTAATTCTCTTAAAGCATCATCTACTAGCTAACAGTAACGGCTGAGAGGTTTATGGACGAACCAGATTGAGTCCATGGTGTGGCGTCTGTCCTGTGAGTTGTCCATCCTGAAGATCAGGTCGATCTTCAGGTTGCCCGTGCTGTCATGAGCTGAATTGAAGTTGGTGATGACTCTAGCCGGGATGCCGAGGCAACGAAGCACTGCATTGGAATAAAATGATTCATTTCACATTATTACTTTCAAATATCAAGAAATTATATCTACAAGAAAGTAGTGGTCATTTTTCAACACTTTGTGGTTATTTAGAATTTACTTTTTGTAGATTTTTCTTTGTTTTTGAAGATTAATGGACACAAAAAAGACCCAGAGCATGTAACTGACAAGCCCCTTTCATACTTGAAATGATCTAAAAGGCTTAAAATATACATTTTGAAGCTTTAACTCAGTGGGACAGTGTGTGTCCTTACAGGTGTTGAAGACCCCAGCGAACACCCAGCACTGGGCATAGCAAACAGGGACTCCAGTGTTGACATACTGCAGCAGAATCTGAGCGCTGCCGGTCCAAGATGTTGGGGGTTTGCCCATGGAGAAATCGCCGCCCCAGTTCCCGACCAGCACACCGTAATCATCCTGAGAGTTCACCTGAGGGAAGAGGAAGGTCAAATGTCAGTTACCCTTAGACAGTGATGTTCATACACATTACAACCCCAAAAAGTCTGGACTTTGTATAAATTGTTATAAATAAAAACAGAATGTGAAAACAACAAAATCACATGTTTAATTTGATAATAGCAAAAAGAAAACATATCAAATGTTAAAACTGAGCAATGTCATTGAGTTTGGCCAATGACATGTTGCAAAAAGTTGGGACAGGATCATGTTTACCCCTCTGTAGCATTTATGTGCACAGAGAAAGTCCTGTAAATTTGTTTCTGTTCTGTCCTGATGCTTAACGGCAAAGAATTTAAAAAAATGTCTTAAAAAAAATTATTTAAGGCTTAAACCACGGGGACTTGTGACCAAACAGCTTGGTATGTATTCTCAAATTCATGTCCAATAATTGGAGACTGTTGAACTATAGTTGAGCAGGTTAAGTGCTTCTCAGTCTGTATTCTTACCACGGCCGATGCCATCCTGACCAATTGGACGACGTTGCCTCGGGTGGAGATCGGAATCCGACAACGATCCAGGATGGAAATACAGGCGTCCAAAATGCCCATCTCAAACTGAAGAGAGATGATGAATTAACTTACAGTTTATTCTCTCTGAGTTGTTATGATGTTCATTTATTTGAAGGCTGAAACTGATTTTATGCGTTATATCTAAGCTCACTGGCCTTTAAATTCTGCACCTTTTGTACATTTTGTGTTTTTGAAGGATTTCCTTTAACTGTTTTGCACCAAAACACCAAGTTAAATTCCTTGTATGTGCAAATGAACTTGGTAATAAAAAATGATTCTGATTCTGATATTTGAATATTTGATTGTACCTGTCCATACATCCAGTCGGTCTCTGACACAGCATTGACATCACCCTGGAAGATAATACCGTTCTCGTTCAGGATATACTCCTTCCGTTCTGCTTCATCTTCAAGAAACACAGCGTCCTCTGCAGGGGAAGAGAAATTCTGTCTTTTATTGTTGTTTTGTCCCTCAGAAGCTCAGATTGTTATTCTAAGTGTCTGACGGCATCACAGAAAGGATCCCTACAGAGATAGACCTTTGCGTGAAATAGGAACATGATTTTTTAAAACAGAAACAGCTGTAACATTCCAGCCTTCAAAGACACCAGACTCCATTGAAAATACAAAGATTTTATCTTGTGGAACTCAGGAGTTCTCTTCTGCGACCTCGCTCATTTACCTTTTAGTTGTTTTATGTGACTTGAGTGTTTTTAATAGTACATTTTTGAACCTTTCAATTTTGGAACACACAATGACATAATCAAACAACCAATAGAGGCAGTGATAGATTGGCAACTCCCATGTTCTCCAAGGTTAAATGACTGTTTTGGTCAATGGAGTTGAGTTGATTGAGGAATGCAGATTTTGGTTGTAAAAATAATCTTCCCCTGAAACAAAAAGGTCTATCTCTGTCGAGATCCTTTTTGTAATGTTGTCAGACGCTTAGAATAACAACCTGAGTCTGTCAGGGACAAAAACAACTTTTAGTGAAAGCACTATGACCTGGATCTGTTTCCACACAGGAGTAATGTTGCAACCATTACAGCCTGTTTAGTGGGTGCTGCATGAAATAATATACTGGAGCATTCCAAACAATGTCACACCATTTCATTCATTTTGTCCTTGTTAATATGAGAAATGGGACTGTTGCTAAAAAATACCCAGGACATCAATTTCACAAGACAGTGAGACAAACTAATAAACATTCCCCATGAAGTAAGACAGTAATTCTCTATCAGCCACCAGGGGGCAGTAGAGTGTCTGTGGGTGTTCGTACTTGGACACCAGGCATTGCACAGCAGGTACAAGTCGGTCTCGTCATTCCTCTTGGTTCGCTGAATGATGTTGCCTGCAATGACAGCCACATAGGTACGAAACTTCCCCACGATGGCGTTGGCCGTCGGCGTGATCCCCAATATCACAGACTCTCCCTGCTCCTCCAGGATCGTACCTGACCACGAGCTACCTTTACGGATGCCAGAAGTCACCACCAGCAGAGTTCCTTTACTGGGAGAAGGGTTAGAGCCTGAGGAGGAGGAGAAGCAGGAGGGTCAGTGATATTTGGGGTTGGAGGAAACGAGGCAAGGAGAGGAAGCAATGAGAAGAGAGAGAAAATAAGGAGAGGAGGGAAAAGGTGAGGAAAGGAGAAAAACAGGATGGGAATGGAAATTAATTAAAAGGGTAGTGGCTTAGAGAGACAAGAAGTTAGAACAGGGGCTGGCAGGAGGCAAGGAGAGGTAAGGAAACGAGAGGGGGAAGAGAGAGATGGAGAGGAAATCAAGGGAGGAGAGGAAAGAGGAGTGTTGAGGAGGGGAGATAGAAGGAGAAGAGGATACACAGTAAGGAGTGCAGTAGGGGAGAAAAGGAAAGAAAAGGAGACAAGGAGAGAATACAAGGAGAGGAAAACAGACAACAGACAAGAGCCAGAGAGAGGAATGAAGGACATGACAGGAAACAAGGAGAGGAAAGAAGAATATGACAGGAAACAAGGAAACAAGAGAAGGAAACAGTATTTCTGTCTTCTGTCCTCCTTGACTCAAAATAAATAACAATTTGTTTTTTTAAAGTGATTAAAAATATCAGATTTTATGGAGCTGAGGCCAAACATGTCTGCAAACATCTGTCAGACGGAGCAGGTGTGTGTGTGTGTGTGTGTGTGTGTGTGTGTGTGTGTGTGTGTGTGTGTGTGTGTGTGTGTGTGTGTGTGTGTGTGCGCGCGTGTGATTAGCCATGACTGTGATGCTTCCTGATGAGCTGACAGTAGTTTAATTGTTCAGTTAATGAACATCTTTTCCTCGGTTAATTGGTTAACGATGGAGATCTAACTGTTGGTCTCAGGTGTGCCAAGCCCTGGCTACTGAGCGTGCTCAGTAGCAGAACACACCCTCCCCCCATCCCTAAAAATTTGTCAGTGCGGCGTCATTGTCAGTGTGAGATTACTGATCTAAGCCCGTTGGCTCGTTGTGGTAAGCCCTGCAGCTCATGTTGAAATTTCCGAGATGCGTGCTGAGCAACTGACCAATAACGACAGAGCGGCTCGGCAGACCAATCAGAGCAGACTTGGCCCACGTGGGGTCTAACAGTGTGGGCTCAACAGAGCGTAGCTGACAGACTCAGAGGGTAGAGGGAGCAAGGAGGAGCAGTACATGAAAACAGACACTTTTTTCAGACTTTATCTATTGTGAACGTACAAAAGTAGATACATAGATTAAATATACAAACCCCAAAAAGGGCAGAATATGAGCTCTTTAAGAGAAGCTAATTTAATCTGAAAACCCCTCACTATTACCCCAGACCTGCATCATTATCCCCATCCTGATCACATCCTTCGTCTGACTTTTATCATTTATCCTGATCCCAGCTGAGGGCTGTTTCAGACTCAATTACAGGAACTAAATGTCATCAAACTGGAAAAGTGGTCTTTTTACAAGCTTGTTCATATTTTACACATTTTATAAATATATTTTGAACTAGAATGCTGTTTTACTTAAGTGATGAACAAGATTTGGTAAACATGGGGTTATAATAAAATAATGATTTTGTTCTTATAAAAACTGTATGTATAAAATATATAATCAATCAAAATCAATATTAAAGAATTACATAGGCCTATCTCATTTAAAGCAGCTTTGAGGATCTTTTAGTGTGTGGATTTTAGCGCCCCCTTGGGACAAAGTTTATGAAGTGTTATTTAGTGTTTTAGTGATCTCTGCGGACGACTGACTCAGATTGGATTAATGTAACTTTCAAGTTGATAAAGCCAAACATTTACAATTGACTTTTATTTTATATGTGCTCTTCATTTGATGAATCGTTACTGTGACACAGTAGATCAGAGACGTTTTTAAAGTCACTGGTCCTTCTTAAATATTTAAAAGCAGCTTTGAGGATCTTTCAGTTTGTGTAGATTGTGTTGCCTCCATCATGTGGAAAAAGTTTTTAATATAAAGTCCACTTTAAAGCTTTGATTATCCAGATGGGTTGATCTTTAAAAGTATTTTATCCGGTTCTTTTAAAAATCAGGACCAAAGTGAGCTGTATAAGATAAGAAAATAAATTTCCAAATGCTGAACAACCCGACCACTCAGTGAATCTTTATCCTGATTCTCTAACATTCCCCACTTCACAATCTGTCTCAACCAGTTTTTATGAAATGTTGATCGATTTGACTTCTGGATGGAGACTCACCGATGACGAACTCGACCTGGAAGTCGTCTTCTTTGACGATAGGGCGGTTGAAGGTGATCCTAATGATGAACTGTTTACCGCGTCGGACCACCAGGTTCTTGATGTCGTAGGCGACAGTGTAATGGTTGGGTTTGTTGATCGACTGACACATGTCCACTTTGACCACCGACAGAGCATCTGAGGGAGGAGTAACGAGACAGGCCACCATATTAATATGTTATTGATCGTGATTCATTTCTGCACATTAACTAGAATAAAATAAACATATCTCACCTCTCGAAGGTGCGTTACTTCTGGGCATGGCCTGGTCATCAAAAAACTCAAATTCCGGGAAATCTGCATCATCATACATAAGGTTGGAGGTGGGCACCTGAAAAGCATTCAAATATTCATGTGGATCAATTAAAAAGAATATCACAGAGGCCTGATAATATCTAAATAGTATAATGTTTTTCTGCCCGTGATTCTGTACCGGCTCAGAGTAGCGCCCCCTGTGGGTGTTTGATTCTTTGGCTGAAGACGTCATGGTCGAAGAATCAAAGATTTCACTGATGTCACTAAAAGAAAAAAAACACACAAAATAAGTAAAAATATGCACATAAAGACAGATGAAGTATATACAAGTAATACATGCTAAGCTTGTGTGTGTGTGTGTGTGTGTGTGTGTCTCACCGCTCAGATGAAGAAAGAAGTGTGTGTGTGTCGAGTCTCTGATGATCAGATCAGAAGATGTTCAGATCAACTTCAACTGTCAGTTTATATACACATGCTGCTTCCTCTTCACACACACACACACACACACACACACACACACACACACACACACACACACACACACACACACACACACACACACACACACACTCTTAATAAAGTCACAGTAAGTGATTTTCAGCTGCCGTTTTTTTTCATAAATCTGTTTTTCTTTTTTACATTACACACAACTTTAGTCCAGTAGAATTCTATACAACAACAAAAAAATCATATAGAGATAAACAAAAGAAAAACAACACAGACAAACATTTTATCTTACAAAATTACACCACTAATACAAGCGGTCAAAAAGACAAATTGAAAAACTCTCTTTTTATAAATGAAAGAAGATTAATTGGACAAAAGTCAGGATAACTCTAGGAGCTAGAGGGCGCTGTCAAAGGAGTGTAAGGTCGTTTTTGTCCTATACAAACACTGCACTCCTGCAAACACTGCAGCCAATTAAAAATAGTCTTTTGCTTTTCTGCCACTTCACGAGAAATACTTTTCGTTTGGTTATTTTATTGATTTGAGAAGTTTTAGTGAATGAAGTATTCTTTATTTTTATCATCTTAAGTTCCTGGATACCTCAAAGCATGTTACTGTTTTTTGTATCTGGAATATGTTCATCTCTCAGGCCCAATAAAGATCAGGATTATATATACATAAGAGGCACACACTGGGCATTAACAGTGTGTTAATTGTTGAATTATTGTACATGAAAAAACAACGTTGTTTTCTTTAGCTTTCTTTTTTGGTTAGTTTCTGTTTTTTTTCTTTTGCTTAACTTTTGAAAAAGCGTTTGTTGTCTGCCTGTTTCTGCAGCATTGTCTTAATCACCTGCAGTTAATCAGTTAACAAGCTGTTTAGGAGCTTTAACTTCATGACCAACATGTTTATAGAATCATGTCACACTTGTGCTTAAAGGTGTTTCATGTTCTAGACATTATTAGATCATGAGGTTTTATTTCTGTACTCATGTTCATTGTACTTCAAAAAATAACTTTTCTCTTTTTTCTCCAAATAAATGTCCTAAAAGACTGTTCAATCTTTTTTTATATGTAAACACAGAAGTCATGTCATTTGAGTTAATTTGTTCTGTGTCAGTATCTTCCTCTGACCTTGACCTCAGGCAGTGAGGTCAAGATGACACGCTGCTGCCGATTGGTCAGATTTCCCCACAGTTACAATTCCTCATTTTGCTCTGACATCTGCGCTCTGCTCTGAGATCAGAAACATTCAAAAAGCAAAGTCAACAAGAAAATAAATAAATATTAAGAATAGAGCACACAGATTGTTTTAACAGACTTTCTGAACCAGAAACCTTCAACGACCATTAAAGCCTGAAGCAGATATGCATCCATACAATTATCCTGGTCTGTTTTGAACAACATCACATCAGCCACTTTTTAAGCTTGTATATATGCGTCTCTGTCGACTTATGTACAGTTAAATTTTGTTGTTTGGTAATTACTTGTTGTTTGTTCATTACTTGTTGTTGTTTTCTTGAGATCTCATTGTTTTTATTTTGTATTCCTGCCCATTGCAAAAGACCTTACAGCGAGCCACTGTTTGATTTTCTAGACTGTCAGAGGAACAAAGTTTATTCTGAAAAGAAGTCTTCAGGTTTCAGGATGAGTCACCGTCTGTCACCTCGATCTGGATTTAATCGGTCTGAGTCATCAGGACCGCCGTACGGTTATTACGATCCCTCAGCAGATCTGCCCGTGTCTAACACAACGCAGGACGGGACGGGGAGAATATAGAAACAGCAGGAAAATGCAAATTATTTATTTCAGAAAGAAGATCCCAAAACACATCCAAAGTTTATTTATAAGAGAGACAATAAAATGGAAATAAAATCCCAATAAGAGATGAAGAGCATCCACAAACACAATCATACAGAATCAAATGAAATATGAGAGAAGTCAACAAAAGAAAAGATGGAACAGAAAGAGACTCATCTTAAAGAAAAGACTGGAAAGGAAATTATTTCAACATGTAAAAGTTTCAACTTGCTCTGTTCAGGTGAGCGAGTCTTTCAGAGGAGGAAGTGAGAGAGGTCATTTTGCTCCTCACACACAAACACATTGACATGCTGCTGCTTAAAAATGTTACGTCAATCTGTTCATGATCATGGTATATTGCAAAACTCAGATTCTTATTCATGCTCTGTGCATCAGTTTGACCCAGACATAAATGTTTTTAAAAAACTGTAACATTTTGGAAAAAAACTTTTAGAAATCCATTATTTTTCCAGTCAGAATCAGCTTCTAAATTTTACTTTGTGCAGGTTATACAAGGGTGTATTCACACCTGCCTTGTTTAGTTTGCTTGAAACAAACTAAAACCCTGGTGCAGATCTTTTGGGCAGGTGTGAATACAAACCATCAAACCTGGGAGCGCATCAAACAGCCGAACCGAGACCCAGCCGAAGAGGTGGCCACAAAGAGCAAAATTTAGACTCAATTTGAGTAAAGAGCAACTTACGAAATACAAGAAGTTGCAGGTGCACATAGTGCTATTCACCAGAGAGAATTTGTCACATCTCTCTAAGTAGGGGACTTTTGGGAGTCATGTTATTTTGTTATATTGTAGTTCTAAAGGAGATGCTTAATGTTCTGTTTTTTTTTTTTCACAATGGCCCGAGTTGAAAGGTTTAAAATGAAACCAGATGAATAAGCTAAATATAATTTCATATAATGTCCATGGTGCAAACCATCCCATTAAAAGGAAAAAGATAATGAGCCAACTAAAGAAAATGCAATGTTCTATAGCTTCTACAAGAAACACACTTAACCGAGGTTGAACATAAAAAACTGAAAAGGGAATGGGTAAACCATGAATTTTATGCCTCATACGGCAAGAAAAAGGCTGTAGCCATATCAATAAATAAATCAGTGCCATTCACTTTAGAGAAAGAAATAAAAGATAAAATGGGACGGTATGTAATGATAGTAGGCTCCATAGGAGATATGAGTATGTCTTTAGTAAATATATATGCCCCACAAGAGGAGAACGAAACATTCTTTAAACACTTAGCCAATGTTATTTCTAGTGATGCAAAGGGGATTATAATAATGGGAGGGGATTTCAATACAATACAAAATGGGAAGTTAGACAGACTACCATCAGAAAAGAGATTGATCTCAAAAAAATCCAGAATATTAAATAACACTATAAAAGAGTTAGGCCTTATTGATCCATGGAGAAACATTAATCCCAGGAGCAAGGATTTTACTTTTTACTCCAATCCACATGACAGCTATTCAAGGATAGACTTTTTCTGTGTATCCAAACAACATGCACACAAAATCATAAACTGTAGCACTGAGAGCATAACCATAAGTGATCATGCCCCCATTACAATAACGGTGGATTTGGGTAATGAACCTTCTTTTAAATACTGGAGATTTAATGTGTCACTTCTATCTGATGAGCAGGTGTTAAAGGAACTAAAACAACATCTAAAAGGATACCTGGAGATAAATGACAATGGCCAAGTATCGCCTTCAATTTTATGGGAGGGGGGAAAAGCGGTGATGAGAGGGAAAATAATAGAACTAACATCTAGACTAAAAAAGCAAGACTGGAAAAGCAAATAAGGTTAGAGAGTAAAATAAGAGAACTAGAGTTGAAATATAAGAGAACATCAGACAACTCTATACTACTTGACCTAAAAAAGACTAGAAATGACCTTGAAGATTTGCTGACATATAAAGCTGAAGGGGCCCTACGTTTCACTTGCCAGAGATATTATCAGATGGGTAATAGAGCAAGTCGCCTGCTTGCATTCCACCTTCGAAAAACCCAATCAAATAGAACAATTTCAAAAATAATTCACCCCAACCCCAAGCAACTTGTGGTAAAACCGCCTGATATAGCGGAAGCATTCTCAGAATACTACAAAAATCTACACCATGATTCAGACTCTGATAACATAGAAGGCAAAACACAGATATTCCTTAAAAAACTACAACTACCAACTTTGTCAAATGAAAGTCCCCTGGCACGAACGGATTCCCTTTGGAATTTTATAAATGTCTCTTAAATGAAGTCACGCCAGTATTGTTTAAAGTCTTTAATTTTGCTCGAGCATCAGGTAACCCACCAACAATGTGGTCAGAAGCCATCATTTCAGTCTTACATAAAGAGGGGAAGGACCCAACTTTATATGAAAACTATAGGCCTGTTAGCTTACTTTTTGCACAGAGAATGCAGAAGAATATAAAGAAAATAATCAAACCGGACCAAACAGGGTTTATTCCTGAGAGGCAAAGTACTAACAATATTAGGCGAACATTGAATGTTATAACATATACGAAGAATAACAGACAGAATACCATGTTACTCAGTCTAGATGCCCAAAAAGCTTTCAACCGGGTGAAGTGGAGTTTTTTATACAAAACTCTGGCAGAGTTTGGGTTTAACACAACATTTATAGATTGGGTAAAAATAGCTTACAATAACCCTAAGTCAAGAATCAGAGTAAATGGATGCTGCTCAGACTTCTTTTTCCTTAAAAGAGGGTTCAGGCAGGGAGATTGTCTTAGTCCTTTACTGTATGCTGTTAGTGTTGAACCCCTGGCGGAGTCAATAAGAATTAAAACCGCAAGCGGTGATGAAGGGCCCTCGCACCCCTGTGCATGTCGGGGTGTGTCGCGACCGTGGGAGTGCAGCAGCTGTGGAATGTGGCTAAGCAGCAGGCCGTGCAGTTCGATTTGTGTAAAAGTGGTAGTACTGGCATGTTGAAATAGGCAACATAATGAAGAT